ACAAACTTTCACATCTATATATATAATACGCTAAGCCGATTTTTGTAAACAGAACTCCTCCCTCATTTTTGGACCGATTTTGATGATTAAAGTGTCAAATGAATGGCCCTGATCTGTAGTTTTGCAAAGTCTTTTTCGTTTTTTAAAATCTTTATTAGTGTGGGCAGTATCTTCCATCAAAGTTGGATTTTCTCCCATAAGATTAACATGGGGGAATCTAAATATTTGATTGGAAACTTTGTCTCCATTAATTTGAGAGAACGACTGGGCGTAGAAACTTGGTAGAGGTGTCCAAAGAAAGGTCTTGGTCTCTAGATGAGTTACCAAAAGAAAAACTAAGTGAATCCCGTTAGGGCTCTGCCCCAGAAGCCCTTAAAGAGCCCTTCATAGATTTGTTTACATTCTGTCCATGTGGATAATAATACTTTTTAATGAAACAGCTGTTAATTTTTGAATTGTATTTTAAACAACACACATTTATTGGGAGTTACTGAATTGTCCAAAAGAAGTATTTGCAATGTTGTTTTCTGATTTAAAAAATGATTTTATTCTGTATCATGCCATATTTTGCAATATAACTTTCCATTACGAAATCAGTGGAAAATCCTTTTAACACAGTAACTCTTATTTAACAATTATTTCTTATTGAACTATCTTATATCTATTGTACGGGTTGGTGTCTGCCTTTTTCACCACTTTTGCCTATATTTTATCATATTATTCTAGACAGATCATTATAGGTTCGTGAGGTTATTGTCATACATGTTTTTAAGCATTGGAAACCTTTTCAAATGTGTAATACAATACAAAATTATACAATACAAAATAATATAAGTCTTTTAGCTTTAACATTAACCCCATAACCGATTTCTCAAAACTATACTAGAGGGCAATTCATTGGCTCAGAAGCAAGATATCCCCACAACCAATTTCTTAAAACTATTCTAGAGGGTAATTCATTGGCACAGAAGTACGATATGAACTGATGCGACGTGACTAAGGAAAAAAAATAAAATACACTGTGACGGATGGACCTCCCTTTCAAGTTAGAACGTGTCTCCTCAACAAGCAGTTATTTTCTCTCAAATAAAATCATAGATTAATCTTTATTACACTGATGAAATCGGGGAAGTTTTTAACTAAAAATGATCCACCAATACGATTTTAATACTATTTAAAGGTTCTTCCAAAGTATGGGAAATATTTTATTCGTTGAATGATCAACCATATTCGGTAACTAACGCAATTAATATATTTATTGTTTTTACACTTATTACTCTTTAAACAATGCTAAATGCTCTAAATATGTATAATTTCACTCAATTTATCGCAGTTAGATCAATTAGCGTAAGCCTTGAAAATAACCGTCGATTTCGACGGGTTTCACCTAGTTTATAATATTAGTAAGATTGTTTGTTGAAACTGAACAATATTTATCGTAGTTGTCAGCTGATATGTTTCAATTTGTTAAAATCGATATATCGAGAAAAAATCATCGATAATAATGAATGTTCCCTTTAACAGGAAAGTACCAAAAGTTTTTATGCTATAAAGTTAAGTTAAAAGTTTATTAAAATCTCAAAAGCACTTTTTTTATTTTTAGAGATTACCAGTGTTAATATACTGACCTTTTCATTAACATGTATGAAGGTTTTTCTTTCTTGAATTGGTTTTTGTATGTTTTCCTTATGGTCAGTTGAACCTGCAACAACCTCACCAACTTTCAATCTTAGTTATTTCGATCCAAAACTACGTATAGCTTATTCCCTATATGGGAAATTCGATAATTGACTGTAACTCTTGCTTTGATCGAATCTTCCAGACTAAGCTAATCTGACATGGGTCATTAAATTGAAACTGCTATAACTGAATAATGCAATCTAAAGTTCGTGACTATTAAAATCCTACGTTTTTAGAAGGTACAATGACTCAGCTGGGTTTTTGTAACCCTGCGTTTATAATTTAAATAAAGTTACTGTAATTTCTTGTTAATAAAACCTGCAAATTGCAATGGAGTGCACAGACTATGACTCTTATAAATAATAAAAATAAAACTAAAAAATATAATAGTACAATATATCAATCAGTGGGCTACATCTGTAAACATGATTGAGCCTACAAGTTTAAAGCTAAACTATGACTTTGAACATCTGTCAATCGAACCTGTATCAACCAAACTGACGTGTTTTTTTTTTTTCACCTGAGGACGGGATCAGATTCCAGATCCCAAAACGTTGTGTATTGTGTTTACCATCGTGATGGAAAATGTCCGCAATAATCCTATGAACCTTAATTATTGTTGAAATTCTTTTGGGAAAATGTAGGTACCTATTAATTATTAATTGCTTATTAATGAAAATACTTCAGGGCAAGAATTAATTTTCCAACAGATCTTTTGTCGGTTAAAACAGGTTTACAATGAAAAGGAACTAATGGTTAACAAAACCCTCCACACAAGCCGATAGGAACTAACCATAAAATTGTCCTCGATTGATCCGGTAATGTTGAGAACATTTTCCACGACCACATAGACATAATAGTATCCCATGATTGCAGCGGAATGGAGAGCATTTCTCGCGAGCACCAAGACATCATCTTCTCTCGCTAACGCAACAAAATCCTGGACATCCCTGCAAGCGCCCAGATATTATCATCTTCTCGTCGATAGAGACAAAATATTGAACATCGCTGCCAACGTCAAGACTCGTTATCGTCTCCTGCGGTCCGGACAAAACCCCAAACAGCTGTTTGCGAAGATATCATCATCTTGTCCCGCGTCATCAAAATCTTTCACCGTAGGGTCATCATAATCATCTTTCATAATTGTGGCGAAACTATTGCATAGGAATAATGAACCCAAACAGGCATTTTTCACCTACTTTTGGTTTCAGGATCTTAACAAGTTTTATTTTGAACCTTTATAGTTAATTACCTTTTCCTTGGCCAAAAACAAAACCTATCTCGTAGGGTGAACGTAGTAAGGTGAAACTGTTTCAAGTTGTTTGTCCGTGAAAGTATCTAGAAAATCTGTTCGCTTATCTCGTGAGATGACGAATTATAAGTGTTACCGGCCTTTAGTGGACAATATTAAGTAAAAACGCTTCAGTGATGATGATCTGTATATCTTCAATAGACAATCGTGTTGAGTCAAGCAATTTTATTATACTCACAGTACGTTACACATTCATTGTAGGCATCTCCTATGTACCCAACTTTACATGAACACACAGGGTAATGGTTCTTGACGTGACATTCTGTGTTATTGCCACACACTCCGTCTTCACAAGGATCTACACACTTCTGCAGACGACATGAGCGGTCCTCCGGACAATTAGAATGAGTCTGGCATTCTGGAATCCCTGTGACACAAAAATATTACAAATATACAGCTGTAAGAGCTATCCAATATATGTTGGATCGCCATTCTATAGGATCCTAGATTACAATACAACACTAGAACTGTTGCAGGGTTGAAGCTATCCAACAATTTTTGCTCTGACATACCAGCATCAATGTGAATCCAATAATAAGAACAATCCAATAAACGAATGATTTTGGAGCCATTCAACACGTTCTGTTGGACTAGTATACCAGAATCTATTTAACAGCATAAGGAAAAATGTAACGGTAAAAGTTATGCAGAATGTGACTAAAGCTCACCATTATCACGCCTATTCCTGCCGTAGATTACGTCTCTTATCTTTCTCTACTCAAAGAAGTTTTGTGCATGTTGGTTGGTTATTATTTCAACATTTATCAAGTTTGCTTACAAAATATTTAAAATTAAGAACGCGTTCAACTCTGCCAGGTAGAGCAATATGCTGCGGGCACTTAAGCATACGTTCCGCCTTTCTCCTTACCTTCTACAAAATATGTAGAGTCCTACCTTTCGGACCGTCTTCCTTTTTGACACCTTCGAAGGTTAGCTTCGGATATCCATAGTTTCTGAGGCTGCACAAGGATTAACCTTAGGACTTGATCCCTGGAACTTGTTTTACGACAGTCTGAAGACTTGAAATGCCCGATGAGACCACCTTCGTTGGCTAGGCCGACGATGTCACTACTCTAATGGCAATAAGAAACGTCAAAGAGGCAGAGCTAAAATTCGGAATAATGATGCGAGTTTCTTCTGCTTACCGCAAGATCTCCGAACCTACAGTTCCAGTGATTGCAAGTGTATTTCCAATCTTCCACCTTGCGAAGGAGTGACAAGCGATCTACCGCAGGAGAAGTAAGCAGAGAGACTGGTGCCAGAGAAGAGTACGGCCGCAGTTTCAACCACTAGCAGCGCAAATGAGGCGTCGAGTTGACCCTGCCAGGCTCATTCCCTTAACTCATCACATGGACCACTGTTTGAATGGAAACATTGTAAGGTTGGGTATTTTGTGACCCAGATTTTTTCAGGTCACGGGTACTTCCGGAATTTCTTGCACGGAATTGGGAAGACCGCCAACTCGGACTGTCTGTCCTGTCCCGGCATCACGGACATGGCCGAACACACCTTTTGTGACAAAGTGGTATATCCACCGGGCCTGTTTGATCTCTGATATTGTCGTAGGTATCACTTCTAGCAACAACGTTGGAGCTATGCTCCGGGGGAAGGGCACCTGGAACTGTTCCGAGGCCATACTTGGGGCAAAGAAGTTCGATCTCCATCGGCCTTAGCCTTTGGAAGAAAATAAGAAGAAAAGTCCTAAGGGCATAATTAAAGAGGCCTAGCCACAAGTAATTTTCTAAACAGTTCTAGGCAAGTGTCCTAGGAGGTGAGGTTTTTTTTGCCGGTAATACGGGGACATTGTGCCAGCAGGGGTCTGGCACTGCTAAAAGAATATTGAGCCTCCCAGTGTGCGTAAAATCATTTCAACCTCCTCTCCACAGAAAAAACCTCAGAACATTTCCAAAACACATCCCTCCTACAATCTAGTAATATCTAATATCCTACAGAGTAAATCCATTGCATTTTTTTAAGTTAGATTTTAACAGTACAAATATTTTCTTACACTTGGGATTGCAGCCTTTGTCTAGAGTGAGGAAGAATCCTTTGAGGCAGGCACACACTGGTCGATGGTTGACCACTCTACACACAGTATTGAGCCCACAATAGTCCAGACAAGGGTCTACACACTTGTGGCCAATACAGGTCTTGTCTGTTGTACACATGGAGTCGTCCGTGCATTCTGCATTAACTATAAATACAAACAATATATCTTAAACAAGGTATGTTAATATAAAGTGTAATGTAAAATTTATGTATGTAACAAAGAATTTGACCAGATGTATTAAAAGATAACAGCTAAGACGGAACGAACAGTGTTGTATTATAAAAGGGTTATTTTTATTATATCTAAAACCTCCCATCTCCCTTTACTTTATACTCCTAAACTTATAGAAGTATTTCTCTTTGTCAAAAGCTATGAGATTATATGTTATGGGTCCCCCAAACACAAAAAAGTGGTTGTAAAAGTTGTGCGTGCGTTTGTGTAAGTGGTGTGTAGGGGGATTTGTACAGGTTTAAAGACTGCACCTGTGGTCCGAGTTTTACTAATCCATAGTGCCTCCAGCTGTTTAAGTTTTTTAAGTTATGGTTTTAGTGATGGTGGGTTTTAAAACCTCATAAAATAAAGAAAATTGGATTTGTACAAAAACAACCTAAACAGTTTGAACTGAAATTTAATATGGGTCATTTAACCCTGAAAGAAATTACACAACTCCCAATGCTGTACAAATTACGATTGAAAAGTTATTGACATTATTGTGATGTTTCCTATAAAAACCGATAAGACGTAAAATTACCTCTTAATGAGTAAATGAGTAAATTAGCCCCTCAAATTACCAAGTACATATATTCATATTTTCATCCTAAAACATATAGTAAGATTTTCTGTAACCATCTAAAACCATTGGGTTAAAACTGCAGCATCCAGAAGATGGTTTATTTAAGTTTGTGAACGTTGAGACTTGTAAGTTCTGAGCATTAAATTCACTAGCTATACTCAATTGGCTAAATTCATTAGCTATGAAAAGCGGATGAATAAAAGGAACTATGTTTTATAATTGTATTTTAACTGTTTTTTCTAGCGTTGTGAACTTTCGACTTCTCCTTTCCTTTATATTCAATATACAACCCTGATATATATTCAATCTTGTATCAATTAATAATATTCTATTTTCCTATATTTTAATACCAGCTGATTGGTTAATTATTTTTATTGTTTTTATGTGTGAGTCAGTTCTACAATTTAATATTTTGTTTCAGTGTTTATACATTTTACAATGTTAAAATATATTTCTCAAACGCTTAAAGTTTATTTAATTTAGACACAACATTGGCGACGAGGATGAGTGAAATACTTAAGCTTAAAAAGGTATTAACTGCAGTCAAAATTCAAATTAGGAAAGCTTACAATGCAATTGTACAAAATAAAACAGCTAGAGAAGACATGAGTAGTGATGAAGTCACAGTGCGGTTGTCTTCATTACAGATATATTGGAACAGATTCGAAAATGCTCAATCTGAACTTGAATCTTTAGTTGATGAAGAAGATATTGAGCAATTAGCAACTAGCAGAAGTGAAATTGAAGAGCTGTACATTACAACCGAAGTAGTGTTAAGAAACAAACTGCAATCCCCTACCACAGTTACTAATCAGTCTTCAGTAGGTCTACACCCTTCTGTTAAATCAAATATTGCTTTTGTTCCGTTCGATGAAGGAGAATCATTTACAAACTTCGTTAAAAGATTTGAAAACTTTATTTCCTTGAAGGAAATTTCCGACGGTAAAACCAAACTTTGCACATTACTTGCAGTGCTTCCACCAAAACTACATGAACAGCTTCAAGACCTTGTTTCTCCAGATGATCCATACAAGATGAATTACAAAAATGTGGTAACAGTGTTAAAGGATTATTTGGAACCGTTACCTAGTGTTATATCTCTTCAACACAAATTTTTGTGCCATGTTCAGCAAGACGAATCAATGATGGATTTTTCAATGGAACTGAAGAGACTAGCAAAGGATTGTTGTTTTCAATGTGAATGTGGGAAATCGGTATCAGACATGTTACTAAGAATGCAGTTTGTTAGAGGACTTAAAGATAATGATGTAAGAGGGCAGTTACTACAAAAAGAAACAAGTACTTTCAAAGAATCAGTACAAGCTGCAATTTCCTTCGAATCCTCAAGACTTGAGAGCAGCATTATATCAAATCCTACAACAGCTGCTGTTCTTAAGCTAACAGGAAGTACTGAAAGAAAGATGCCGGAACAACAACAATATGCAAGCAAAGGCCCAGCCAAGAAGACCGAAAGATATCATACAGTTCGTTCTACATTTGACCAACTACGTGGACGGTGCTATCGATGCGGGGATAAATGCCACAAAGCTTACAGTTGCAGGTACAAGGATGAATTCTGCAATTCTTGTAATAAGGTTGGTCACTTAGCCAGGGTCTGCATGGCAAAGAACAGAGCTAGGCATATCAACCAGATCGAGGACAGTGAAAATGTAAATGATATTGACCACGCAACGTACGACACATATAAGATACAAATGAATGGTTCTGACAAGTTCATGGTTGAAGTTACACTAGAAGGAAATCCAATTCAAATGGAATTGGACACAGGAGCAGCTTTATCGTCAATATCATACAAGGATTATAAGAAACTAAATTTGAGTAAAAAGCTATTTCAAACTCATGTACAACTAAGAACTTACACGGGCGAACTTATCGAACCAAAGGGGGTAGTATATGTCGAGTTTAACTTCAAAGACAAAGCATACTTTGGTAAGCTGTATGTTATTGGACAAAATGTTGAACCTATTTTCGGAAGAGAGTGGCTTAGAGAGATTAACTTAAAAATTGGGGATATCCGAACTATTCAAGAAAACTCGTGTGATCTTTCTAAACTCCTTACAGAATTCTCTGATGTTTTCAAAAAGGAAATTGGATGTATTCCAAATGAAAAGGTTCATTTATCCCTTCAAGAAGGTTGCAAGCCCATTTTCATCAAACCCAGACAAGTTCCATACTCACTGAAAGGAAAAGTAGAAGACGAACTCAATCGACTAGAGAATGCCGGTATAATCACTAAGGTGAACAATGCTCAGTGGGGAACACCAATTGTCCCAGTGGTTAAACCCAATGGATCTGTAAGAATATGTGCAGACTATAAAACTACACTGAATAAAGTAATACAAGACGACAAACATCCAATACCTAGGATAGAGGACATTTTCGCGGAAATGAATGGAGGCAAGCTATTTTGTACCTTGGACATAAGCAATGCTTACCTGCACATGCAAATGGACGAGGAGAGTTCAAATATGCAAACTATAAGTACTGAAAAAGGTCTTTACAAAGTCAACAGAATGATGTTTGGGGTTAAAGTAGCACCATCAGTATGGCAAAGGTTCATGGACAGAATACTACAAGGAATTAGCGGTGTTAAATGCTTCTTTGACGACATTATCATACAAGGATCAAATTATGAAGAAACTGTGCAAAGATTGAAGCTAGTCCTTGATAAAATGAGGGAACATGACCTTAGATTGAATTTTGAAAAGTGTAAATTCTTTCAGAAAAGGATTGCTTACTTAGGTCATACAATTGATGAAAATGGACTTCAAAAAGGGTCTGAAAAGGTAAAAGCGATTGTTGAAGCAAAGCGACCTCGTGATGTCAACCAATTACGTTCTTTCATAGGTTTGGCAAACTACTACAATAAGTTCATACCTAAACTGGCAGAGAAACTAAACCCATTGAACAAACTCTTACAGAAGGGCAAGAAATTTGAATGGACTGATGAATGTGAAAGAAGTTTTGAATCTGTTAAAATGGACATTGCCAAAGACAAAACTCTAATCCACTACAATCCGTCATTACCTTTAATACTGTCAACAGATGCATCACCAACTGGCTTAGGAGCTGTAATTTCACACCGGCTAAATGATGGAACAGAAAAGCCAATTGCCTTTGCATCTAGATCACTGACTAAAAGTGAGAATCAATACAGTCAAATTGACAAAGAAGCGACTGCCATTTATTGGGGTGTGAAAAAGTTCTTTCCATACTGCTATGGCAGAAAATTCATTCTTGTCACAGACCACAAACCTCTTGTATCTATTTTTCATCCTTCAAAATCCCTACCTGCAATGTCAGCTACACGTTTGTTAAATTATGCTCTTTTCCTTGCTGGTTTTGACTATAAAATAGAATACAGAAAAACTTCAGACCACTCCAATGCAGATTTTCTTTCAAGATTCCCAGTAGAAAAGTTAGAAGAAGGTGAAGATCTCTATTCAAAATTTCAGATGAATCAAATATCTATGCTACCACTTACCAAAGAGACAATTGCAGAACATACGAAAAAGGATACGTTTTTCTCTAAAGTCAAGATAGCCCTTGAAAATGGAGATGATCTTGAGACAATGGGATTAAACAACAACGAGTACACATTACACAAAGGATGTGTTTTTCGAGGTATAAGGGTTGTGATACCTTCATCTCTTCAGAAAGAAGTACTCAAAGAACTACATGTGGGCCACCTTGGGATGACAAAAATGAAAGCAATGGCAAGAAGCTATTTGTACTGGAAGAATGTGGACAGAGACATTGAAGAGTTGGTCAGAAACTGTAAGATATGTTCCCAGAAGAGAAATGAACCTCCAAAAGACAGGACTCACCCTTGGGAGGAACCATCTGGACCATGAAAGAGAATACACTTAGATTTCCTTGGGCCCATGAATGGAAATTACTTCCTAGTCATCATTGATGCCCATACTAAATGGCTAGAAATATTACATACAAAATCTACTACAGCAGAATGGTGTATCAAAAAGCTACAGCATCTATTTACAACGTTTGGTCTTCCAGTGACAGTCGTTACAGACAACGGGACACAATTCACCAGCACGGCTTTTCAAAACTATTTGAAAGAAAATGGAATTTGTCACAGAACATGCGAACCATTTCACCCTTCTAGCAATGGACAAGCAGAAAGATTCGTACAAACCGTGAAGAAGGGGCTAAATTCAATGGTGGGGGAGAGAGGTGACATACAATCAAAGATCGACGCATTAGTCACACAGCTGAGGAAGGCACCAAGCTCTACAACTGGAATGTCTGCATACAAGATGATGTTTGGCAGAGACATCAGAACTAAACTAAACGTCATGTCAGATAAAACAGAATGGTTTAGAGTTGAACAAAGGAAGATTGGAAGACAGTTCAGTGTGGGACAAAAGGTGCAAGCCAGGAACTATGCATCCAAAGAAAAGTGGAGATTAGGAGAGATCATCAGTCGAGTGGGCAATGTCATGTACAGAATAAAAATGGACAATGGATTGATATGGACCAGACACACTGACCAGATCCTCCCTAAGAATTAAGAGGGGAGAGTTGATATATATTCAATCTTGTATCAATTAATAATATTCTATTTTCCTATATTTTAATACCAGCTGATTGGTTAATTATTTTTATTGTTTTTCTGTGTGAGTCAGTTCTACAATTTAATGTTTTGTTTCAGTGTTTATACATTTTACAATGTTAAAATATATTTCTCAAACGCTTAAAGTTTATTTAATTTAGACACAACAAACCCCAAAGAGCTTGTAACCTTGTACATGTAGTCCCACATACCTGGCTTGCATTCCGTAAACGGGTCTCCTTCGTAGTCAGCTTTACAGGAACACACAGGAGCTCCTTCTAGTACCAAACATATTGTGTTCATCCCACACACTCCGTCACAAGGATCTGTGCATTTCTTAGCTATGCATATCTTTCCTGAAGAGCACTCATCGTTCGAGATACACTCTTCCCCTGAAACATAGAAATAATATAGATATGATTGATTCCACAAAACTTTTGTTACATATAATATTTAGAATTGGTGCGTTATCAAATGTAGGGCCTATATATGTATACACTATAAAAGCTATAAAATTAAATAGAAAAAACCTTGCTTATAAGAGAAAATATACTTAAAAAAAAAGTTGTGCTAAATATTTAACTGAATAAATAGGTAGTACAGTAAAAATCTTTATTTAACCGAAAAAATTGCTCACTGTAAGACCTAGACTCGGGACCAACATACTTTTCACTGCGAGGCCAAGCACGCTATTCGTTCAAAACGTTCTATATGCATATATATATCTTTATATATATCACCAAAAGACTAAGCATTGCTCGTGGTGTTTAATTCGTAGGAGAAAAAAAATTTATATAGGCCTACATATATGTACAATTTCCAGTATATTAAAAAATACAGTCTAGAATATGCAACAAAACAAATGATATAATAATATTTTATTATGCTCACGTGTTGGTGCTATTCGCACAACAATTTGTCATTGAAAACCATTGTAGGCCTAAATATACTCGCATTACTGACACAGTAAAAAAATAACTAATATAAAGATTCTACATTTAAAAATAGTATCCTTTCTGTACTGACAATTTTCAAAGCTGAGCCATTGTATAAAACTCGATTATATGTTAATATAAGTCTTTATACCTAATAACTAATAACATATTTTATAGTTTATTATCCTATATTCGACATCAGTTTTCCTCAAACATTTAAATTTAAATAATTTATCTATTAACTGCCGATAGACGCATCGTTATTTTTTTTGTTAGGCCCAAAAAAATTATATTTTTATTCAAAACTAATGAATTCAACTGATAAATCTACTCTTAAAAATAAGTTATAAGTGTAAGCATAAAACGGCAAAATAGTTTGTAAAAACTGCAAATAAACACCCTAAATACTCCAAGCTAAGTTTTCTGCTGTAGCTTATGATATAGTTTCAAAGACTGAATATTAGAGTTTGTGAGACAAAATATGTCATAGCATGTACTTTATTCTCTTCAATATAGAACATATAATGTCCATACGATGTGAGTACCTTCGGTTGGTTGCTTAACAATGGTCAGATTGTAAACAAGAGACAAAACCGTTTATGAAAATGAATGTTAAACTATTTTAACTAGCATGTATTAACATAATTTGACTGTGTCTCATGCATTACAGATGAAAAAATATTATTTCATTAGGCTAATTGTATTGTTAATTAAAACATAATCCAGTTACAAAATTTAAATTTCCTGTCTTGATTTCAGATACCGATGTATCTAAGGTGACATAAAAAGAACCTTTACATTACAATAACTTGTCGGTTGTGGAGATAACCCAAAATATTTAAAATTCCCATGTTATTCTTAAGGGGAATAAAAAAACTTTTGTATTTTGCTTGTTTGTGGATATATTTTAATCAAAGTTGTCAATTTTGTTTATTTCATACAAAGCAATCAACATTTCAATAAAAATCACACCTTCCATGTAGCAGCAAACCTAAGTAGGCCTACTCATAAAATTTATGTTAAATAGGAAATAAATCTGACAATTTTAAGGGAATATCTTACTAGAAATCCAGCCAAGAAAATGGAAATTCGCTTAGTCTGCAGGATTGCTATGGGGGGGGTATTTTTATATACATGTATAACCACCGACTCCTTTAGGCACTCATGGGACGTTTCAGAATTAAAAAAGAGGTTTCTGAGGCGACGCAACGGATGAAGCAAATGGTCATACTTTTTTTAGCAACACGGAAGATATACAAAATGCAAAAGAAATGAGTAGACAATATTACCCTAACAGATGAATCTCTAAAACTGAAAAACCAACATGATATTATAAAAGATTAGAGTTTATTAAAAAAGAATGTAAAAAAAATTCTTTAGAGCATGAAAACGGTGACAAACTATTTTGTTAACATATGCCAACAAATCTGTAGAATACTTAGAATGTTTTCACCCAACATTGCTAAAATACTCCTAAGTCGAGGGAACACTTATGGATGCACTAAAGAATATGCAGAATCACCTTTTTCCAATTCCTGTAACAGTAGAGGAAGTTGCTACTGTTATAAAAAGCATAAAAAAGCTCTAGGTGATAGGAGATTCTCCTATCACCTAGAGCTTTTTTTATGCGTATGCTTATGTGATGATCTTGTTTATGAGTTGTTTAAATGTCACAGTTGAGTCTACAGTCCCTGTTGTAAAAAATACTGAACCAATCTAAGAAGAATTGGAAATTGTCCCAAAAATTTTGAAAGGATTAAACCGACATATAAGTGCATTAAGGATAGACAATAATTTGCCAACAACAACAGGGTTTCCTTCGAGTAAGATAAAAATTGACATAAAGATCGATTCACACTTATCAGTCCAGTCACAGTTCAGTCACAGTTGCATCCGCAATTCCTCAGTCAACTGTCCGTCAGTTGGGTCCAGTCAGACTGGAGTTATTTGATTATATCACTATATTCAAAGTGATGTTTCAGTCAAGATTTTTTATTAAAACACAATCTTACTAATCCTAAATGTGAAAGTTTGTGTGTTTGTTTGTTTGTGTGTATGAAGTCCAATCACGCAATAACCACTGGACGGATTGGGCTGAAATTTGGCACAATGATAGCTTACATTCCCGATTAACATATAGGCATATTCTTATCTCAAAAATCCTTTCGGGCTCCGCCCCAGTGGCTCTGTAGTTCCCCATGTTAACTTATGAGTATTCATATTTAAAGGGAATTAAAGAATTTTGTCAGCTGTTTTAACTAAAAAAGTTGGTTCTATTATATGCAAAAGCATTAACAAGTAAATTGTTGTTAAGTTGTAAGATTTACCAACAGGAAGCAGCACTATTTTTTGGCATTTATGAAAACAGCTAATTTGAACTAAGCAGCAACAAAAAGTTGTGATACGCAATGAGAACTGTCAAAGTATGATTGTTTACAGTTGCTTATGTTTTTATTTCATGAATAATTTGTGATATTTTGCGAATTTTTAATAATTAATTTTTCTCTATTGTTTAGGTGAAGTGGTAGAACATTATGGCTATGATAGAAGTGTAATATTATTGTATACCGTAATTTAAAGAAGCAAATTTTATCAAATTGTGTCCTCCATCATTGAAAACGCAAAACTTGAATATAACTGCAATACGCATTTCATACTTATATGCCAACCCCGTACGAAGGACGGGTACTCTGCTAGTGACTAACAAAAAATCCTTAAGTTTCCACAGCAAGCACCTCACTCTTGAAATTTTGTTACAAACAGATTTTATGTGCGATGACCAATTTAATTTTGAATCCAAATTAAATCCTAAAAGTTTAACTGATTCAAATTTTACCTCTGTTTTGAGACTGATTGTTATATATTGTGATTTATCAGAATTACAAGATAGTCTGCAGAAAACCAATCATATGCTCTATGTTCAGCCTCTTGACTAATTAAGCGCAGGGTTGTTAAATTAGAATGGTAAGCGAGTAAAGTTGTATCATCCGCATATATAACAGATTGTGTATTTATATTTATAGGAAGATCATTAATGTAGACGTTAAATAAAAATGGCCCTAGTACAGAGCCCTGAGGAACACCGGTTTCAACTTTTTCAGTTTTAGAACATTTTTTCTTAATCAATACAAATTGAAGTCTATTACCGGTACATAAATACGAAGAAATTAGAAGCATGGCATCATTAGTGATGCCATAAAAACGTACTGTAGTTTGTTAGATAGGATATCAAAAGGAACCGTGTCAAAAGCCTTACTTAAATCACATAAGACTAATGATATATCAGCCTTGAAGGATTAAGCGCTATTTTGAATGATAGACTAACCTTAACCTAAGTTTCAATGAAAATTAAGACTCCAATCTTAATTAATTAGATCAATCAATACATCACTACAGCCTTGTGTGAAGGCCCTAAAATACTAACTTCATCAATAAATTAAATCTGACCTTTAACATCCAAGGTGAACTCCTTAGTATGGGCCCTGTTTCTTTCATAACTCAACTTAGCTGAGCAAATGTAGACTCCTGAATGGTTTTTACCCACCCGTGGTAAGTTTAATTTGTTGAAGTAAGAATATTTTGTTTCGCTCTTCACACCTAGAAATCGTAAATTTAATAGTGTATTACTGGCATTAAAGTTTTATTGCCAAGTACTCTCTATATATGTAACTTTCAAACACTGGTGGATTATGGGAAACTACAGTCCAGCTGTACATTAAGTCCAGGTTGTATGTGCAATTAATTGCTCATACAAACGACTTGCTCACTCTCGTAACTTGAATTAAGTTACTATCTACTAGTGGCTTGTAGGGGCAATAGCCCCTTTGGATGAATAAGATCCCCATCTAATATTTTTGTAAGTAAATATACAGAAATATCCTTTTGGTGGTCTTACAATCTTAGCAGGAAGTTTCATTTTATTATTTTAAAACTTTTGAGTGTCCCCCAAAAAGGGGGATTTTGGGGGGCAACTCAAAACTCTTAAATGCAAACCCTCTTCAAGTGACACGCCATTTTGAAGTGTTTACAAAAACTTTAAAAATGGTGAAAACCAGAGTTCGCTATCTCTCTTCTGTCTAAAATCGTAGCCAATATTACAACTACAAACAAATATTACCATTGATTTTCCATAACATTTGACGGGCTACCATTTTGGACAGAATAGAGATAGCGAGCTCTGGTTTTTACCATTCTTTACATTTTTGTAAACACTTTAAAATGAGGTGTCACTTAAAGGGAGTTTACATTTAAAAATTTTGAATTGCTCCCAAAATCCCCCCTTTTGGGGGGACATTTAACAATTTCAAAATCATAAAATGAAAATTCCTGCTTATATTGCACGACTACCAAAAGGATATCTCTGTATATTTACTAAGACAAATATTAGAGAGGGGGGTCTTGACTTTTTATTCACCCTGTATATGTGTATATATATATATATATATATATATATATATATATATATTCTAGTAATTATTTTGTACAAATTATTAGTCTCATGGGTTACCCTACCTTGAATTATTGTTTAACATTTTTGTATATTATAATATGTATAATAGTTATTACATACCTGCATAAAGCATTTTGATGTCTGCTCTGTTTAATATAAAAATTCCAAAGGACTGTACATTAGGTGTGTTTATATAAACTTTCTAGTCATAATACAACTATGAAACATTTTCAATAATAATCTGAATAACTATTAATTAAATATCCACTTAGATAAAACGCACAGAGATAATGTCATCCTCCAAATTATAAAACGCCACCATAACAAAATCTCTCTGAAAACAACATTTCTTGTAAAGTATCTATTTTGGTCGATTCCTTGGTCTTTATTTGGTTCTAGTACTATTTTAATATCATCTGGCCGCTTTACCCGACAAAACAAAAAATTAACATAAAGTTGACCATGGGTACACACTGTTTTTTTTTCTTCAAATAAATGCCAACTTTTGTGAAGGTTTGGCCTTGCGCTTTTATAATAAGTAATAGCGAAAGCTAATCGCAATGGGAATTGAATCCTTTTAAACTTAAACGGCATATTAGGATATGTAGGTTAGATGTTAGATGTTTGAAAAATATGTTCCCTTTACCAACTCCAGTAATTAATCCTAACTTTACACTATTTTCAGACATACTTAACACAACCAATCGTACTCCATTAACTATTCCAGACCCTTATAATTTTAAAAAGTAATAGTATATTACATTACCATATGCTTTAAATAAAGTTAAACCACATGTTTTAAAGTAAACAAATCAGACATGACCTAGATTCCCATGCTATTTAAATGTAAACTATTTTATTCCAAAACAACCTTTTGGTTCATAATTAAGAAAAATGAATAATTTTCAAGGCATGAAGATTTCATGCCAGGACCTTTAAAATGAGACCCCTCCCAGCTTTCTACGGCCTCCCGTTCGCTCACAATATCATTGTAAAATTTTGGGCTTACGGAATTAGATATATAGATATCAGGGGGTCTCCAAACTACGGCCCGTGAGAGGTTTTTGTACTGCCTGCGTTGGCATGAGTGATGTGTCATAAAATTATGATCGTAGCCGTAGCTGAACCAAAAAGACTCCCATTCCCCCAATGCCAGGTGGTCATTTCCCAATTGTGGGATAAAAACAACTACATACACAAGTCACATCTATGCTAGGAATTCAAAACAAGACAATCAATAAGAAAGTGATTGAACCTCGTGCCTATGGGCCCTACTTTCCAATATATTTCTCAGTCTCTATCTTAAGCAATATTGCATTGACAATTTTTTGGAAAATTGAAATTTTTGTTTTATTATAGTTGTTGTGGTAGAATTTTTTTAATTTTATACAATTGATTCTTTGTTTTTAGTGGTTGTTTGGCACATTTTATCTTAGGACGGATTTCTCACTACAGGTAATAACTTTAAGAATATTCTGTAAGGTATTTTCTGAATTATTTTAACAAGCTTTAAGGATTTTTATAAACCAACAAGAAAATAACTATAAATTAAACCGACCCAAAAAAGGAAGCTTTGCACTTTAACTCCCATTTTCAGATTACATGATATTACACTTTTTCTTTGTCAGAATGCTTAAAATGATGACTTTGCAAGTATAATTTTGCACAAATTTTCGGGGGAGCAGAAAACTTTTGGGTTGAGAAATCTTTTAAGTTGTTTTTTGAATTTGTTAAAATTTCTCCCATTAATTTCGTATCCATACACAAGACTATCTGTGTCCATACAGGATGAATAAAAAGTTAAGACCCCCCATCTAATATTTGTCTAAGTAAATATACAGAGATACCCTTTTAGCGGTCGTGCAAACTTAACAGAAAGTTTCATTTTATAATAAAAGGATTATGATAAGAAAAAATCAATGTAATCCTAATATTGGCTACTATTTTAGATAGAAAAGAGATAGCGAACTATGATTTTCACCATTCATTAGCTTTTCAATAGTTATTTGTGCAACTAGTGATCAAAGTGAGCAATTGACTCACTCGAGAGAAATACTTACTCACGAGCTGTAGGCGAGTGAGGAATGGTTTCTCGAGTGAGGCAATTGCACTTTGCACTCGAGTTGCACATTATATTTTTCCTACAGTTACCATAAAACAAATAAATTGATAAAGAAAAGTAACACATTTTTACACAGAAGTGAATTTTTAATATGACATTTAATTATACAACAGTACAACAGCTGACCAGCTGATTTACAGCCAGTGCTGCCAACGTATTTAGCGCGCATACGACCTTGTCTGCATGTTACGCGCTCACTATCTCGTGCCTTCACGTTGCAAATCTGGAGTGAGACAAAGTAATTAGAGACGGACAATGTTAACATTGTCTCACTGATGAGTGAATTGGCCACTTTGCTTTCTCAAATGAGTGAGGGAACATGTACATTGTTAGGTAACTGTAGGAAAAGAATTTTTTCAAATAATTTATAGACGTAGACATATTCTGTGACATTGCCTAGCCATATAAGCTATATTATTCTATTATTACATCAACCTTAAACATTACCAACTTAATTTTAAACAGTATGACTTAAATTGGATTTCTGTAAATATGATGTTTTTTTTTCAACCCGTCCTTATGACAGTACGTATCTGGATCCGGATTCGAATTTTTCAAGATCCGGATCTGGTACCAACATTTTCTTGGATTCGTCCATAACTAATCTAGATCTTTAAAAATTAAAATGGCAGGCTATGGCCTTGTTATTTTAACATTGGAATTGAGTTTTGAACCATATTAAAATGTGCAAATTGCGCATGGGTCCCCAAGTTTATAAAATTAAAATAATACGACGTTGTTTATAAGAGGACAGAATAGGACATCACCAACCTTTGAACTCAGAAGTTGCTCCACTTTTTTCCACTTTAACCCAACCTGGAGTGCCTGTGTAGTTGTATTTAGAGGCACCACAACTCAAAGTTACGTTGTCAGTTTCTACCACTAACTCAGGTGCATCAATAGACATACCACCTTCTACATCTGTAACATATTATCAATAAAACTCTATCTCTGCACAGAAATGTCCTTTTTGTCTCAACATACCATCAGATAACGAATCTAAATTGTTGTAAGATAATTGATCATTGTTTGTAGGGTAGCAAGTAGTAAAGCTTGCTACATATTTCTTGGCAGTTATTAGAACTCCACCATCGTCAATATAAAAAAGGAATCCACCTCTCAAGGTATTATCAGAATAAATTAAATAAAGTTTACACAAAGGCCCAACACCAAAAAAAAAAATGAAAACTATCCAAGATAGACCATAGATTGTCTTAGTTATTGTGTTATGTAAACTAAGTTAAAGGAATCTATTTGTTAGGCTGATGATGGCAGTGATTCAACCACCAAAAGATATATGTAGCAAATTTTACGATATATACTACTACTCTACGTGGCAAGGATTGTCGAACGAGGTGCGTGTCAGCCATTCTTTGTTATTAACACAGTTCCAAGGCTAATAATTAAATGTAAATTGTTAAAACAAAAATGTTTATAAATAACAAATAAATAAACATTCCTGCCGTTCCAGGATTTTCTCACTGCAGACTGATTTACAGAATTAATCATCTCATTTTGCATTACGTAATTATAACCTAAAACTTATAAAAGGAAAAAATACAGCTAAATTAAAACTGGATTAAAAATGCAATTGTTTTACTATGTGGCACTTTTTCAGCCTAGATTTGAAAGCTGTGATGTCCAACTACTTATGTCCAATAGGAAGTATATAAACATATTGAAAAAATATCAGTATTCTTGATTCTTGTACTAAACAAGCTTTAAAATGGTCAAAAACAAAAAAATCCTTACAAAGTAACTTAAATTTAACAAAACTCTCGATGATAAAAAAAGTTGTGAAACTAATCCTGAAAAAAAAATATTTTACAGTTTACCACAACCCAAACCTTGCTTTTTTTGTTTGTATTTTGTTGGTGTTAGTTAAAGGGGAATAACTGGCAATTGGCAAGCTAACTAAGAATATATAAAATAAGTTGTCATTTTTTTTGTTCGATTAACATGCACCACTTGTAATGTTATAATTTACCTGTAAGAAGCATGGAGATTTTTCTTTCGTTACACTTTAGGTCGTTGCAAGCCTGACATTGCAGGATACCTGTGTTTACTGCCTGAATTTCTACAACGGAGTTGAATTGTGCAGGGTTGACGTTTGCAATATCGTGTTCTACGTACTGACTTTTCTATTAAAACAATTACCAGGATTAAAAAGTGTACTATAATAAAACAACTCTTCAATTGCTTCGCTTACAGTCAAACTCTATAAAAAAAACACCTGAAAACTTGTTTTAAACTTGATATTTTCAGTTACTTATCTATTTGAACATTTAGGTTTAACCCTTGAGAGGGAGAGGGTGAACCCAAATGTTGCCAAGAGATATAATAACATGTTTATTATGGCATAGAATTATTAAAAATTTACATTTTACAATTAGTATAAAATATATATCCCAAAGATGCTCAACAGAAAGCCAAAATTAAAATTTTTTAAAATGAAACCATAATTAATTAAACATAACCTTTTTGTTTAAGGGACTAGGTATAGAATATATACAGAATGGAGCCAAATATAAGTTGGAGGGATTAAATTTTAAGGGCTACCAAGAGTGAAACACGGTATCATTGTACGTAGTTGCATAACTGAGCGGTTATAATTCTCCCCTAACAATTAGAAGGTCGCCTAACAATACTGAGAAAAGCCATAGCTTTATGATGAGTACCTGAGGACCGAGCTTTGCTCGGGGGAAATCAATAGTTTTGAAAGCAGTTTAGTATTGCAGATACATTAATCCACTTCCAAACTCCACACTGCTAACCTTTACTACTTCCTTCACCAATCCCTACGTTGTGGACCTGTTTGCCCTCCTTCCCTATACCATTTTAGAATTGCAGATACATAAATGCCACAGACAGTTCCCACACTCTGCACTGCTAGCCTTACTACTTCCTTCACCATTTCCTACGATATAGACCTGTTTTCCCCCCTTCTCATAGCATTTTAGGATTGTAGTTACCCTAATCTAATCCCCATTAACAGTTCCCACACTCAAGACTGCTCACCTTTACTACTTCCTTAACCACTTCATACGTCGCGGACCTGTTTCCCTCCCTTCTCACGGCATTTTAGGTTTGCAGTTACCTTAATCTAATCGTCATAAACAGTTCCCACACTCCGGACTGCTTGCCTTTACTACTTCCTTCGCCACTTCCTACGTCGCGGACCTGTTTCCCTCCCTTCCTATAGCATTTTTCCCATTGCATTTTAAGATTGCAGATACCTTAATCTAATCGTCATATACAGTTCCCACACTCCGGACTGCTTGACTTTACTAATTCCTTCACCACTTCCTACGTCGCGGATCTGTTTCCCTCCCTTCCCATAGCATTTTAGGATTGCAGATACCTTAATCTAATCGTCATATACAGTTCCCACACTCCACACTGCTAGCCTTTACTACAATCATAAAAAGTCCTGCTACAATGTATCAAGTAATCTTCAGTATAATCTTTGCTCAATAGTAACAACTGATGTTTTTCCTTTTGTAATGTATTCTGTAATTGCTAGTATACTGTGGATAGACTACTTACAAGTCTTTTGTTTACCTTTTCCTTGTTATTCAATTCAACCAACATCGTTACTTAGCAACCCATAAGACTAATGTTAAAAAATGTGATTTTCAGTTTCATTTTTCTACGTAATTAGATTTTTGTTGACAGTTCTAACTGCAGTAAACTCGTTTTTAGGCCAAAAATAAACTATTTACAACATTTGAAGAAAATCGTCGGAGCCGTTTTCGAGATCTTGGTGCAAGCATACATACATACATGCATACAGACATACATACATACATACATACAAGCAAACATTGCTCGTATTAGAGTATAGGATTCGATTGAACTCAGCTGCTGCTATTAAAAGTCCTTGGAGAATGGATTAAATATCCATCTTGGATAATTTCAAACAGCCACTAAAGAGTTATTTACCATCTCAAAATATTTATACTAAAGTGATTGTAATTTAAATATCTAGTATACTGTGAGATTATAAATTTTCTTTGTAGTTTTTTAATTATTTTATGGGTTAGAACGTGTAGGCTCCAAGGACTCTTAATCGTTGAGTTTTAAATCAATTATCCTGGTCAAAGCTGAAACATCAACTGATTCAATAAAAACAAAGCTACACAGATTAGATCACTCCATCCTACACTCACTCTGCACTAATTCATCTTTAAAACACACAAAAATTGTGTAAGTAATGATTTGTTGAGTGTTTTAGTTATAAATCAAAAGATCAGAAGGTGGGTTGTAGAAGACAGCTAAGGAGAAAGGGTAAAAGAGTGCTAAAGGCTAAGATTGTTTAAAGTTTGAACATGTAAGGAAAATGTGAGAAGAGAGAATTTCTTGAGCAATCGTGTAGAAGGTAATAGAACGATAAAAGGAAGACCTAGAATAAGATAGATGAACGAGGTAAAGAAAGATGTGGAGAAGAGAAAAGTGGGATGGTAGAGAGTGGTTGAAGAGGAACTGTGAAGGGATAGAAAATGAAGATGCCTATCTACCCACAACCAGACTTTTGAATAGTCAGAATATAAAAGGACAATGTTCAACTTTATATTATTAACTATCTTTAGCTCACTGGAATCATGGAGAACTCGTGGGTGCATGATGGGTAGCCTGGACAGGGTTGGAAGCTCCACGTGATGATGGGCCGAGGGAGAGCATACACATCACAGCTTATTGAGTAGGATTTGTTGAGCATGTAATACGCCTCGTCAATGTCATTGTTTAGACGCAACTCTGGGGCCCCTGCAATTCAAGGTGGTTAGCATTGTGAGAATCTCTAAAAAAAGTAGGTAGTTCCTTAATTTATATTCCAGTATAATGAATGGTAAAAAAGGCTCACACCTCCATTTGTGGTACCTGGGATGGAATAAACTGCAATGGGAATTTACTTGTAATAAGATGCGTCTAAAAGGGAGACTGGTATTCACTGGAGTTTTCCATAAGTGTTCTTGTGGGTTGCACAGACTGATGAGTGCTTTCCACTGCCAAAAGGACTCACCAGTTAACAGCAATTAGCCAACTATTTCAGGCCCAGGTCAGAGAATGCAGCATGACTGCAGAGATTCAGCATCATCCCGAGGCAACAGAGACTGCGCCCTGGATGTTGTTCCCCAAGGGTTTCCACCTGTACTGCATGCGCTGAATCAATGCAAACTATGACATTATCACCAAGGAAACCCATAACTAGTATAACGAAGGGGAAGATTTCCAGATTCCTTCTCCATGTAGGAGGGGCTTCCATTTGAGCTGCTCCAACTTCAGAATCAGCTTCGGGACCAGATGCTATAACATCAAAGAGCTCACACTGGCCAAATGTGTTCATCACAAATGGACTTGGAAAAATCCAAACATTGTCTATGGGCCTACACGGTCCAAGATACATGAACGGTGTGTGTGATAGTTAAAGTTTTAATGAATATTTTGAAAATAAATAAGTTGTCAAAGGTTCGTATCCGTTAGAATACGCCTACTGTTATTGCATTGAATTGCTTTAGTAATTGCGTTATTCTATGCGTTCTTACCCACGTTCGATGCAACGAAATTGACGTCGCAGCTTTTGTTTATGTAATGCATGACGTTTTTTAACATTACTACAATCACTACATTTGATACTGTCTTGTAAGTGCTGATGAAGTAGATGTTTTTAAATAGACCACTAATTAACCTTTTAAGATAGAATTAGTATTTAAAATTGCATTGTTATTAGTAGATTCAGCTATTAGGATTTCTATTTCTGTTTACGTAAAGATATTTTTGTTCAAGATTAACTATGTTAGTATCTATGTAGTATGTATTGCCTTACCCTTGACTAGTAGAGTGACTTTGACAGACTCGTTCATTGCCTTGTTGTTCACCACCAACGTGTACGTCCCAGAGTTGTCAACTCTCGGCTCACGAATTATCAGCTTCGATAGTGTTGGACTGTTCTCTGCGATAAAGCTGTCCCCTTTCCCGATAATAGGCTTCATGTAGTTATCATACCTTCGAAATATGTCTATTTCAGAATAAAGTTGCATTGATTTCTACTAGCAACTAACTTGTGCTTTGCAACCGAATGAGAGATTAGATGAGAAGAATTTAGTTACTTTGAAAGTCAACTATTGAACCCCTTTTTAACTAAGGCCACATTGAGTTTGTTATGTTTTTTGTTTATACTAACAGATTAAGGAGTGTTGAATAATATAAACTTTGACGGATAATAGAGATGTGCAAGTGGCTCAATTATTGAGCCGACCCCACCCCAGCCCAGCTGAGCACAGCTTGAAAGCATTTGTGATGGAACACCGAACACCATGTCAAAAATTGAGCTGGGACCAAGCTTTAGCTATTGCGATTTTAGTATCGTGATCACAGAATATGTCTGCAAAGCTTACTTGATCAAAAAGTTTATATTTTGTCATTGTGGGAAGACAAAAATTATGTCTAAGCGACCATAGAAGATGTTAAGGTTTTTGCTGCGATCAATGATTATAGTCATAAAATTGTGATAAATGCACATTACAGTAAGTATTGTGTTCCTACTAGTACTATGTTCCTACTAGGAACCATATCACACATGCTTTAAATATCTATCTTCTATATAAATAAAATTACAGTTTTGTCTGTACATTGCTTAGAATCATGCAGTTTTTGGTTATTTTTACGTTTCATAGCCTAAGAAAGCCGAAACGAGTCTTATCTCAATTTCTGTCTGTATGTCTGTTTGTCTGTCTGTTTGTCCATTCTATGACTCTGTTTGTAACGCCGAAATGTCATTTTACGCGGCCTACTCCTAGAAAACTAGAGTACCGATCAAGGTTCTAATCATTTTTCTGTATTTACTGATTGGTGAGAGTGTCTTTGGCTATAAAAACATAACCTCTCTTCTTTGAAGACGAAATAACGAACCATCAAAAACCCAATTTTGTTAGATTTTTGTCAAATTTTCTCCCAATGTTTACTATTACATATTATGAAATAATGATCAGCTGTTTGGATTAGTTCTCACTCACTTCTAGCTAGCTGTCACTGATATGTTTACATTAAATACTGTTTACAAATACCGCAACCATTTCCGATCAAGTTTTATAAGCACATCTACACCAAGTGAGATTAAAACCGTTGTACCCGGTTTAATTAATTGTAAGTTCAAAGATTGTTCTTGAGTTTTGATAATTAGGGAAAAGGCCGTGAATCAGTGTTGCATAGTGCTAGGAAACTTACATTTTTTAATCATCGTCACCAATAGCTTACAAAAAAGGTTTCCACTCATTAACGGCGATTCAAGGACAGTTGTGTAAATTGCAAAGTAAAAAATAACAACTGCAGTGGGTGATCGTGGATGTTGCTGTGATCTTGGAAGATCTTTCTGATTTCGCTGTGATCGTAACAGAGGTTTATTACAGATGTAGCTAAACTCGCTTTTCCAATGTGTCACTTTTAGTTTCTAATTACTTACATTTCGACAACGATATCGGTACTTTTCCTACTTAGGAAGTAAAACTACAAACGTCCAAAACCCCAGAATTGTGCGTTTTTTATCATATTTCCTCCAAATGTTTGCTAGATATATGTATCGATTATCGTTTAGAGATTACGTAATCTTTTAAATAAGAAACCTTTGTTTCGATATAGGTGGTTTCTTCAAACTGCCATTGATATGTTAACCTTAAAAGTTGCTTACAAATAATGGGAAATAACTTTGATTTTCAAAAACATAAAAAAAGATTTAAACCAAGGGAGATTAATAACTTCAGTACTGCACCACATCAAGTGAAAGTTTTTTGAGCAAACCATAGTGAATTTTTAAAGCTTTACGTTGTTAACGTTACATGTTACATGTTTTGTGGCCTGTGTATTTATTTATTTATATATTTGCCAACGGATTAACACCTATAATACAGTTTGATTAGAAGGACAGTTTGAATTGGTCGTAAGTAGGCCTACTATAGTTTTATTCTTAAATGTAAACGTTGGTTTTTGGTACTGCTACTCCTTAGAACCGGTGGTAGCAGTAAGAATAATTTTTACGTACAAACACATCACTATTTACAAATATAGTTATTGTTAGTGCTGCACCTTATTTCTTATACAATTTAATTGATGCCTTACTGTATAATTTTTGCGTTTTCTGTCTCTACTCCAAAATGTTAGTTTATGCTATATAAATGATAAAACATTAGTGAAAGATGATTTGAGCTTCATGAATTTTCAAAGCTTGGCGTTGTTAACGTCTAAATGTTTTGTGGACTGTGTATTTATTTGCTTATTTATATATTTGCTAACGGATTTACACCAATTTTACAGTTTGATTAGGCCTAAAAACGATTATCATAAAATTTGATGACACTATTAAAACTTTCAAATAATTATTTTTTACACCAATTTTACAGTTTGATTAGGCCTAAAAACGATTATCATAAAATTTGATGACACTATTAAAACTTTCAAATAATTATTTTGTTTGTAATTTTCTTAGGTTAAAGCGTAGCAAATCCCCTAATTCAATTCTGTTTTTGTGTGTGTATGTCTGTTAGTAAAGCCCTCATGTCCTAACTTCTCAGTGTCTTGTGGAAAAGACAGGAGCACCTTTGTTAATGAAAATTTCAACCCGAATGAAGTGTGCAGTAGTGAGGTTGAGGTAGTATTTTAACTACTTTTATTCAGTGTGAAAAGTAACTTTCAATTACAGGCCTACCTTAGGGCGTGTGCTCCCGCTATCTCCGCGTTCCGCCACCTCCGAACCCAAATCTGTCCCGCCAACTCCGAATTCTTGAGTGACCCTTATAATCCCGTCATTGCCTGCGTTGGTAGCTGTCATTGCATCCACGGCTCCGAAGCCCCGTGGATGGAAGATTTGATGAAAATTTAACCCGTGGGTTAAGTTAGGAATTCACACCGAACGGACGTCGGGCGGAGACGTGGCACGGACGAGGCACAGACGTGGCAATGACGTGGCGTGTTCAATGCACACCGAAGGGACGGTGAAGGGACGGTACAGTGGCGAAACAACCTGTATGTAGACTAGAAGCTTTGGTTTTTGCTTATTTCTATTAATGTCAATGGTGTTAGTTAATTTCTGTCAACTTATTAGTACAAACAAGGGAATTGTTCTACTTTCTCACAAAATGTTATACTAAATTCAATGTCATCTCGCATAGTAAAGAAACAACTCACAATCTACACACAAAAACAACTCTACACAACAAGGTTGGTAAGTACAAGCACACTATACACAAGAAGGTTGGTAAGTACAGTACAATATTTGCAGTCCGATCAACGGGCGCGCTACGGACATGCCACTTCCGATACGCCACGAGGGACGCCGAAGCGACGTGGCGGTGGCGGGAGGGCGGCCGCCCGCGCCACGTCACTTGTGTGTGCATTGGCCAATTTGTTTACATGGGGAGGCGAGGAACGGACATATGTCCTCGCCACGTCCGTGCCACGTCTCCGCCCGACGTCCGTTCGGTGTGAATTGGGCCTTAGGCCCAATTCACACCGAACGGACGTCGGGCATAGACGTGGCACGGACGAGGCACAGACGTGGCAGTGACGTGGCGTGTTCAATGCACACCGAAAGGACGGTGAAGGGACGGTACAGTGGCGAGACAACCTGTATATAGGCTAGACTCTTTGGTTTTTGCTTATTTCTATTAATGTCAATGGTGTTAGTTAATTTCTGTCAACATAATTAGTACAGACAAGGGAATTGTTCTACTTCCTCACAAAATTTGATATTAAATACAATGTCGTCTCGCATAGTGAAGAAACAACTCACAATCTACACACAAAAACAACTCTACACAACAAGGTTGGTAAGTACAAGCACACTATAAACAAGAAGGTTGGTAAGTATAGTACAATATTTGCAGTCCGAACAACGGGCGCGCTACGGACATGCCACTTCCGATACGCCACGAGGGACGCCGAAGCGACGTGGCGGTGGCGGGAGGACGGCCGCCCGCGCCACGTCACTTGTGTGTGCATTGACCAATTTGTATACATGGGGAGGCGAGGAACGGACATATGTCCTCGCCACGTCCGTGCCACGTCTCCGCCCGACGTCCGTTCGGTGTGAATTGGGCCTTAGGTTAGGTTAGGTTAAGTTAGGTTAGGTTAGGTTAGGACGGAAAGTCTTAACGCAGGTAGTAACTGAGGATTATAGGGGTCACTCTGAAATTCGGAGGAGGCGGGACACGGAGATAGCGGGAGGTAACCAACCACCTTAGGGCTATGCCTCAGATCTATAAAGCAATTCCTTTTATCATTATATATAAAATATGGACTAACACGATCGGCTGGCATTTAATTGCGAAGCATTCGTTTTGGCTTTACAACTGTCAGATATTGTATTTGTGAAGGTTTATATGTATTCCTATACAGTAATAGGTTTGCCAGCATATCTGGAAAAATTCACACACCTAAATATTCAAACCAACTCCTGTTGAATATAAGGTTTCAACTTACTACAAGATTCCCGTACGTAGAACGGGCAAACAGCTAGTTGTTTTATATTTTAAAATTTATATATAGTTTAAATATAATAAAATTAGCAATACTTGCCATTGAATGGATTTAGGAGGAGGATATGCTTGTATTTCTACTAGTAGTTTAAACTCAGGCGTTCCAGGGTTGACGTGTATTTGGGCAGTATTTTGATATCCGATGATATCCAGCTTCAGTTTATGTTTTCCTAAGGTACAATAGGAATTGTAACAACGGTTGGATACTTTTTAATTAAAAAAAAAAAACATTACATCTTTTCTCTTAAGACTTCTTCCATGCGGTCCACTCAAATAGAGTCCAACAATAGTAATGCACAACACTAGTGCTATACTATAACACCACTCTGCCGTAACCAGAATCGTTTCATCACTCACACATTTAGGTTCCAAACATTTAGAACAATAACTGGATTGCCAAATTCTAAAAAAAATCATCAGATTACAAAAATATAAACAATGTAAAACTTAAATACCCTACTAAATAGCTCTAATCGATGGTTTTTATGAAAATTGTGGAATGTTCATGTTAAGGGTAAAAAATGAAAAGTTAGGCCTACTAATATTTCAAGTTACCTGATGGGATGACAGACAGTGTTACTGCATTGCTGTTGGTATTGCCCGAGTTGTCAGTCACAGTACAGATGTATGGTCCTTCGTCCTTTAAGGAAACATCGGTAAATGTTAAGGTTCGGTGGACAGTGCACTGCATGTTATGTTCTCCAGGGTTCTTCTCGTCTATTTCCTCGTGTTCAAGGAATCTTCCACTCTGTCCAAATGCAAAACCAATTAAAAATAAGTACAAGCACAAATTAAATGTAGCAAATGAATGGTATCGATCAATTTCAGCCTACTACCTTCAATTTGACACTTTAATGAATTTGACCTGAAAATTGTGCTCAGACCACGTTTGCTCAACTTGCTAAGTTGTATTTAATTTTCCAGACACTTACCTACTTAGTCTGCAACTGCATGATTAGTAAAGATCAGAACATTTTGTTTGGCTTACTTTCATTTGTGTGTTTCATTTTTGTGTTCATCACATGAAAAACATGATAAGAAAATAAACTTTAGTTTAGCCTAACTACTTTATTTGAGATATTTTGAAGGGGGTTTGTTTGCTTTAAAATACTTTTTTTTCTCACGCAACCCAAACTAAATGTTGAGCTCATTTCCAAACAATGATGTGATTTATAGATTATTGGTGTCATTTTGTGTCAATCAAACAGGGCATTTGTTACAGATTTTACATTGGCAATCAATATGTTTCCTAATAAAATCATAATCAATGACTTTTGGATACTGAAGTAGAAAGATATCCCATCGGCAAGGGTTCTCCGTAAACTATGTTCTTCATCGACCTCCTGTCACAGCAAAGCAAATCTAAAACCAACGTTGTGTTCCTTACTTCATCCACTACTATTCTCCCATCCTTGTCATAGTATTCAAGAATGTTGTGAAAGAAAATTGACAAGAAAAAATCTTGTTTTGTGATTCGATATCTATGGTCTCAGTTGTCAATCGCAATTGAAGTAACCAGTGACGCCTTTTAACTATGTAAAGTGTTGAAAGTAGAAAATTTGTGCAGAGAAGGAGGGAATTTGGAGCTAGTTTTAAACACTAATACTAGGAATATTCCCTACAAAGCTCCCCATTTGAATAACGGTGTGAATAAATTAGAAGGATTATCAAACTAGTAGAGGACATTTTTATGAGACAATCACAGACTGAGGCAAGCCTTGAGAGTCTGAAACACGCCAGTCAACCAGCAAAATCCTCAAATTCTCCAATCACTATATTTCAATGAAAACGTATCAACACCCGCTGCTGGCCCTGTTGGCAACGCCACTTATGCACATTTACTACATTGAAAACTTTCTCCCATCAATGTCCGTCCACTGGCAACAATAATCAAAAGGAATTGACCAATTGACCCCTTCCTGCAGAAACGTAATCACAGAAGTCGGAGCGAGAATGTCAATTTTCTTTCACATATTCAAATGCTATGGCGAAAATAGTAGTCATATAGGAAAGGGAATCAGCTAGAACAGTAAAGAAAACAATAATGATCTCAGATTTGAACGAGTTTGCTTGGCTGTGATAGAGCTTGATGGAGATTTTGGTACTTTGGTATTTTACCGACCACGCCTAATAATTATAACCTAAGGGTGGACTATGTTTTAGGTTAGGTTAGGAGGATTTTGTTATTTATTTTAAACTAATTAAAATCTTATTTGGAAGATAGGATCCTTTACTGGACTATACGTTTTGATGTACAGTAAATATCCGGTCTAAATGGGACCAAGTCCCTGGCCAGATATCATTTTGGCCGGATAAACCAAACTATTATTAAAACGGTAATTTTTATCTAATAACAACTTGTGATTGGTTAAAAGTAGTGTTTAAGTCTCTTTTTGGAATCTACCAGCTCAACTGAGTAATGAACCCGCTAATATTATCGTTAAAGTTGATAAGTATTTAATGCATGTTATTTATTGTTATATATTTTATTTATTTAAGATAATTGTTTCAAGTTGTTTTTAAAGCAAGTTAGTCTTCTACAGAAAGGTAGAGAATAAGTCAAAACAACAATGATATGAATGTGACTGAGCATATGATTGTGATAGCAGATCTTGACAAGAAACAAGGAAAACCAAAGTGTAATATGGAGAAGGACTGACCAAGGGACAAAGTACACAAAGTACATTGTTATATAGAACAAGATATCTCTATGAGCTGCAGACAAGCCCAATTTTTCTGGCTTTTGCAACAAGTTTTGTTTATTAAATGTTATAAGATTTTGTGATTAAAAAAAAAATTATTCGATCAGGAAACAGATACACAGCGTGAGAACGCTCTAATCATTGAGACTAACAGCAGTGGGAAATATTTTTGGTATCGATTTCCGGAAGTGACCGGATAAACCAAGGAGCAGGAACTTTCGAGGCCGGATATTAGGGGATCTACTCTAGAGAAAACATCATCATCAGGTCACAAAACTTGAAGATTTAAACCATCGTAGTGATGGTCGTGTAAATAATTTCAAAAGGAACCAAGGATTACTAGGCAGTACCAGGTATTTAAACCTTTTTACATATTTGAGGAATTTAATTTTTTACATTACTGACTCTATCACAATATCCGACATTGTTCATCTTTGATCTATGTTATAATAATTATAACAGAGAGTTGCTTTTGGTAAGTGAGTGAATATTTACAAACCTCATTGAGATGAGCGTGAGGGAGCGTCCATCTAAGAGCCACCTTGACCCCGAACTCATAATGTACCTTACAGTCAAAAGTGACCTCGGCCCCCTCCACCACAGGGATGGGGCTGACCTCAATGTGTGGTTGCTCCACCGAAGTCTTGTTGGCTATAACAGGCCACATCTCATTAGGTACTTTGAACGTGCAGTTCTTGAAGGAAATGAGTAGTGGCAAACTACCGGTTTTACCTCACTTTAGGCACGTTTTCCCCATAAGAATAACATGGGGATAATTTTTTGGCCACCAAAATCAAAAATCCTGATCTTTGTCTAAATATCCCTATATAATTGTCAAACCTTATTTCTTACTTATTCCCCATAAATATATTCAATATCAAGCTGAAAAAGCTATTTCTTACATTTATTGACCCTTACTAGTGTAAATGTAGAGTAGTGGCGAACTAGCAAAGCTGCCTAACTTTAGGCACGTTTTCCCCATAAGAATAACATGGTGGGCATTTTTAGCCACTTTTTAAAAAATCCTGCCCACGGTCTATACAAGCCTATATTAATGTTCAATACCATTGTACAACTTCATTACTATTTCAAATCCACATGCATTCACCTGTATATTCTCAAAATCATCAACTTGACAGTGCGCGCGAACTTGGGCGCGCTCCCGGCTCACGGCGTGGGCATGCTCCGGGCTCCCGCTCCTGACCCATGGTCGGTCTTCTCGTCTCTAGTGGCAGCTCTAGATTAAGTCCTGGGTGGGTGACCTTCTGTTGAAGTAATTTCTAGTTAAATTGGTTAAAAAAATTTAATTTCTAGCTAAAAATTTTGAATATTTTGAAATTTTCGAAAAGTCTATAAATAGAAGTGACATTCGGGTGATATTTCATTCTGGACCATGAGGCCCACCTGTCAACACTGCTCCGTGTCGCTCTCCACCAAAAGTAACCTGATTCGCCACTACAAGGTAATTCATCAAATGAAGGTGAAACTGTGCAAAGCTTGCAATTTAATCTGTAATAATAACGTGGCTTTAAAATCACATATTTTACAAAAAAAATCTAACACCAAGAGTAAAAGAGTGCGGAATAGTTAATTTAGATAGCTCATCTGGCACACATTGGACAGCATATCGTAAAAATAAAGATATTGTAATTTATTTTGACCCATTTGGAATCCAACCTCCAAAAGAAGTAATTAAATATTTTGAGGGATATAAAATCTACTATACAACCGATCAAATACAAGATTTAAATAGTTCTATTTGTGGAATTTTATGTTTATCATTTATATATTCTTTATAAAAATGGATTCATTTACTATAACATTTTTGGGTACAGAGGCAGAGCTAAAGTCAGGGTTCTTTCCTCCCATAGAATTAAATGATGATTATGTAATTGGATTAATAGATTTTCAAAGTTATAATTCTATATTTAATGTTAAAAAACCTCTAAATACTTTAACATATTACAAAGTAGAGAAAATAACATTACCAAAAGGAGAGATCTCAGTTGATGATTTAAACCAGTTATTAAATGGAAAACTTAAAGTTTTAGTAGATAAAAATGGAGAAGCATTAATTAATACTAAATCCAAACTTTTATTCAAAGGGCTTATTCCAAAATTAAATCAACTTAAAGGCAACAAATTAACCATTAGAGAAGGCGATGATGTTTTCTTCTATGACCACAATGCTCCAGTTACAATAGAAATTTCTGAAGGAACATATGATGTGGTTGAGCTTGCAAAGGAAATTCAAAAGCAAATCCCAGACTTTTTCCTTACAGCTAATAATAAAACTATGAAAGCGACATTACTTTCTAGCCACGTGTTTGATTTTAGAAAACCATGTTTAGGGTCTGTTTTATTGGGATTTAAAGGTGTTTCTACTCCTGGTGTTCAGTTTGAATCTACAAATAAAATAAACATTAATAATGTAAATGTGATTAGAGTAAAATTTAATATTGCAAACGGGTCCTATTTAAATGGCAACAAATCACACACCATACATAGCTTTTATCCAGAAGCTCCTCCTGGCTACAAAATTATTGAAGTTCCAAGAAATATTATATTTTCCTGTAAATAAGAGAAGTTTAGATGTTGTCAGTATTACATTTGCCGATCAGCATGACAAGGCAATATAACGGAGAAGAAACTACAATTACTTGTCATATAAAAAAGATATGAGAATTTATAAGAGTGGGCAGCTATCTATAAGTGTACAAAATGCTAGGTTCCTAAAATCAATAGGACTAAAGTTAAAATTTTCTATTAATAAAAATGGAAGATTTTCTAGACGTTACAGGGAAATCCCAATTCGACGATAGTGTGGTTGAAATTACAAATCACTCCTATGTTCCCCACAACACTTTGGCAATAAATAATTCTGATGAAATTCGAATATGTATTAATAATCAAGATTTGCTCTCTCTCTTATGTAGGAGTTATCTGTATATTAAGGGAGAAATTGAAAATCATGATAAAGGTCATTTTATAAATAATGCATTTGCATTCTTATTTGATGAAATTAGATACGAAGTTGCAGGTAAAGAAATATACATTGTAAGAAACCCAGGAGTTTCTAGTCTTATGAAAATATTGAGCTCTTACAATAAAACTACTAAATTGTCAAATGTAGCATTTGATTCTGACACAAATTTAAAAGAGTTCCATAAAGGTGGCAAGTTTAGTACATGTTTGCCATTAGAGCTGTTAATGGGTGTATTCGAGGATTTTAATAAGGTATTAGTAAATGTCAAACAAGAATTGGTATTGAAAAGATCCAAAAATGATTTGAATTGTATATTAACAACCACTAGTGCTCCAGCCAGTGGCACTGCTGATATGATTCCTAAAATTACACTTAACTCAATTCAATGGGTGATGCCACATGTGATACCATCAGATGGGGAGAAGTTACAATTACAAAAGATGTTATTGCAAAGTAACAATTTGCAAATTGCATTTAGAAGTTTAGAGCTGCATGAACTTCCATCATATCCCAATACCACAAGACATACATGGTCAGTAAAGACATCTTCAAGTTTGGAGAAGCCTAGGTATATTATATTTGGTTTCCAAACAGCTAGGGATAATAGTGCACGAAAAAGAACTGATGAATTTGATCACTGTAAATTAAAAAATCTCAAAGTATTTCTAAACTCTGAATATTATCCTTATAGTGATTTAAATCTCGACTTTGAAAATGGAGATGTCTCTAAAGCTTATGAGATGTTTATGAGGTTTAGAGAGACTTACTATAATACTATCCCAGATCCTATCCCGGCTCCCTACTATCCCAGATCCAGTAGGGCTGAGTTTATGAAGAAATATCCACTAATTGTAATAGACTGTTCTAGACAGAACGAAACAGTGAAGGAAGGAATTGTTGATATTAAATTAGAGATTGAAACTGCAGAAAATGTGCCAGCAAATACATCTGCATATTGTTTGATAATACACGATAAAGTGTTTGAATACAATCCTTTGTCAAATGAGATAAATAAAACGTAAATAAAAGATGAAAAACATTCAAAAAGAATTGGTTGACTCTGCAAATCAAATACGAGAGAAATATAGAGCTTTAAAACGTGGCAAGTTTCTAGAGGCTGAAGAGAGGTTCCAACATTTCGGCCTTTAATTGAGCCATTACAAGAATTTAAAAAAAATCGCCAAAACAGAGAGGCCTCGAATGGAGATTCTCCCAATGACTCCATCTAGAATACCAGTGATACCAATATTACAACAATCCACCCCACAGAAATTAGATTTTGGTCTTTTAGCATCAGACTATTAAGGAAATTACCTCAGTAAAAGTAGTATGACAGACACTACATATGGTATTAGACGAGAAGCAAATAATTTTTTATTGGAAATAAGGAAGTTGAAATTGCCAATGATGATGTTACAGTTGCAAATAAAACCTACAAGGGAACAAAAGGTTTGTGGGAATTGTTAACTTTAAAAGAACCTGAGGATTATACTCAGGTTGATTTGCAAAATTATAAAGAGATTTTGGAAGCTACAAACGGACATTTAAAGAGTTACAAAGATGGTGCGCCAATTTCAAGCAATAGACATACTAAATATCTTAATATAATTAAACCTCTATTTAAATCTGTTGGTGAAGGTTTGAGACAAGTGACTGGTAATAAAATAGACTATATTTATTGGGATGATCCTAATGAGCTTGTAGATAGGTTAAGACTTCTTTGGCTAAGTCGCCAAGCCGGTAACTAAGGAGTGGATAATGAAATAGATTCCATTATTGAGGAATTGAGAGAAAGTGGAATTATTTATTAAATAAAAATATGTTTATAGATAAATTTTATCGTTTATATAATCCATATAATAAGCCTGCAGAACCCAGGGCTAGTAGTGAACCTACTTTAAATTTACAAGACGATAGTTGGAATTGTTTAAACCGTAAAATTGGTAATGTTAAAGATTGGGAGTTTGTAGATGATGTATCAACTTTGGGACAGACATTAACTAGAAAAGGTGATGTCTTTTTACAAGGTAAAACTAAATATGAGTTTTTAGAATCTAAGAATAAAAATTGGAATGCTAAAAAACAGAAAATTACTAATGTGGAAAAGGGTGAAAGTTTAGATGATGTGCCCACTTTACAACAGACTTTAATACGTAAAGATGGTGGTACATTTGTACAAGACAATAATAATTATGAATTTTTAGAATCAGAAAATGGTGTTTGGAATGCTAAGAAACGGAAAATTACTAATGTAGAAAAGGGTGAAAGTTTAAATAATGTACCCACTTTACAACAGACTTTAATACGAAAAGAAGGTGGTAAATTTGTACAAGACGATAATAATTATGAATTTTTAGAATCAGAGAATGGTGTTTGGAATGCTAAGAAACAGAAACTTAGCGATTTGATGGAAGGTACAGATAGTAAAGATGCTGTGAATGTTTCACAAGTTCCAAAAATGGAAGCAGGCTATTGGAATTTTAATAATAAAAGGTTAGTACGTGTTAAACCTGCCATTGATGACACTGACTGTGTTACAAAAGAACAGACTATAACTTATAATAAAAAACTAGATTGTTGGGATGCCAAAAATCAATTTATAAGAAATGTACCAGAGGGGGAACATTTGGATGATATTTGTCTAATGTCACAAGCTATGCATTAT